TGATCACATACATCATCACCCTGCTCATGTCTAACTAACTGCCTAACAGTAGGTTTTCAAAATTTATTGACTAAAATTAAAGATGGGAGAGCCACAAAAGGAAAATGGACCAGCAGATTCTACTATTAGTACTTCAAAAAAAAAAAAAAAAACCTCAGAAAGTTATCCCAGAATAGTAGACCAGTAGTATTACCAGTAGACCAGTGGTATCATTACACTATTATGTTCTAAAAGAGACAATTCAACAAATTTGTTTTTTGACTAGTAATGTGTTAATAGTTGTAGAGTATAACAAAACATAGATGAATAACATTAAATTTCACCCACGTTCAAGGCACTGTTTGAAGGGGTGTGGAGATCGCAAAGATGATAAAAATTCAAACCGCCCCCTAAAGTATACTTAATTCTCTTAACAGAGGAGACAATTTAAATAAAATTGCTACAAATCAAGCCCATACATCAGACAATATGTCAAGAAAATTCCAGTGTTTTTTGAGTTGGAGGTAGAGCAATTTTAAAAGATAACCATCTAATAGCCTCAATAAAAGGAGATTGTTATTGAATGTAGAGAGAAATGATAGGTGCTGAAGGAAGGCAAAAAACTTTAGAAATAAACACTTCACTCACTGCCTTAATCTAGAGAAAACAACTCTCTCCCCAAGAAGAACACATGACATATGAAGTACTTGGAGACAAATTAAATGTGAAGTTTTTTGCAATTGGTATGTTAGCAATAATGAAAATGGAGAAATCAATGTTAATTGTAGTGAAGCAAATTTTACAAAGTTGGCCCTTAAGTTGAGCCCCAAAGGATGGGTAGGACTTAGGTGCAGAAGAATTCATTCCAGTTTAACTGGAACAACATGCTTCAAAGCCCAGAGGCCAAGAGGAGAATAGTTCCATGAGGAAGATGGAAGAAAGCACCTGCCTAGGGTAAAGGGCGTGTGTTGGCACCAGGCTGGCTGAGTAGGGTGGAGCCAGATTATTAGTGAGTAAAAAAGATGGGAACTGCCATCTTAGCTATCTAAGATGAAGATACAAGAGAAGCTGCAACTTGTTTATGATGGTAGTGCAACTCTTTTTTTTTTTAATTGTTTTTTTTTTTTTTTTATTGAATGGTAACTATGTACATTAATGCACTTCTGGGGTACATTGTGGGGTTTTCACATGCAATCTCAAATACTTCCATCAAACTGGTCAGCACAGCCTTCATGTCATTTTCTCAGTTATTGTTTTAAAACGTTCACATTCCACTCTTAGAAAGATTCACTTGTACCCCTATAAGATAAACCTCAGAAGTGATCCCTCCAAACCCCCTCCCTCTACTCATTCCCCCCTCCCTTCTCCATCCCTCCTCCCTTCTCCCTCCCCACTCCCCATATTCTTAGGCTATTTGGTTATAGCTTTCATATAAAAGGTATAAATTAGTTTCATAATAGGGGTGTGTACATTGGATACTTTTTCCTCCATTCTTGTGATACTTGGTAGTGCAACTCTTAAATAAACTTTCACAGCTATCCAAAAGCAATATGATGAATAGGAAAAAAATGGATAAAATGACTCAGATGATGGAGAAATAACTTGCTATCCTAATCAACATGGTTATTGTTGGGACAGGTATCCAACTTGAAAAAGAGAAAAACATGAAGTAAATATAAGAAAGAGATGATTTAAGATAAACAATTATGTTTTCTGATGAACATTACAAAAACCCAGCACTCTACCTATATCATTGGAAAGGTTTCTTCCGCTTGGCGCCTGTGGCTCAAGTGGCTAAGATGCCAGCCACATACACCCAAGGTGGCGGGTTTGAATCCAGCCTGGGCTTGCCAAACAACAATGGCGGCTGCAACCAAAAAAATAGCCGGGTGTTGTGGCTGGCACCTGTGGTCCCAGCAACTTGGGAAGCTGAGGCAGGAGACTCACTTGAGCCCAGGAGTTGGAGGTTGCTGTGAGCTGAAATGCCATGGCACTCTACCCAGGGGGATAGCTTGAGGCGCCTGTCTCAAAAAAAAAAAAAGAAAGGTTTCTTCATAAAATTCCTTTAATACCTAGATTGATGAGTAGGATGTTTTGTTAAATGGATATACTAGCTGGACAGCTGCTTCAATAATTCTTTTAGAGTACAATGGCATCATCATTATAGCTCAGAAGTCTAAAACTCCTGGGCCCAAGTGATCCTCCTGCTTCAGGTTCCTGAGTAGCTGAGACTACATATGCACCACCACACCTGGCTAATTTTTCTTTTTTTGAAGAGGTGGTGTCTTGTTCTTGCTCAGGCTGGTCCTGAACTCCTGAGCTCAAGCAAACCGCCCTTCTCGGCCTCCCTAAGTGCTAGGATTACAGTTACCTGTAGCATGAACTACGCCCGGCCTGCCTAAAGAATTCTGTTTTACCACCTTATGTTTGTAAATTCATCATCTCCTTCCTGTGAATGTATTGCACTTGAACTAACTTTTGGGTTAACTAACAACTGGGTGTTTTACCCAGTTGTCCTTGACTGTTAAAGCATTCTCCTACACTATCTTCTCCATTCCAGGCCAATAAGTAATTGTGTCGATATTATGTATGAATGAATGTGCTGGATCATGGTTGTAGTGCAATAACTCAATCTGTAGACCCTAGTGCGTATCTTTCACTTGAATATGTGAGGGAGAAAAGTTCAAGGAAGTTGGGAAAATGCAGAACTCTTGAATGACAATCAGAACTCTTGGTTGGACTTGTCAAGTTTACTCGACTAGATTTCAGTATAGTATTTTCCTTTTTTTTTAGAGACAGAGTCTAACTTCGTCACCTTTGGTAGAGTGCTGTGACATCACAGCTGACAGCAACCTTCAGCTCTTGGGCTGAGGCAATTCTCTTGCCTCAGCCTCCCAAGTAGCTGGGACTACACACGTCTGCCACAATGCCCGCCTATTTTTTGTTGCAGTTTGGCTGGGGCTGGGTTCGAACCCCCTACTCTCAGTAAATGGGGCTGGCGCCCTACTCACTGAGCCACAGGAGCTGCTCAGTAGTTTTTTTTAAGTTAAATTGCTTTGGATTTAGGGACATAGCAAATTCTACAACTCTGTTTCTGTCAGGTGGAGTAATCAAGAATCAATGGAATTTTTGAAGTCAGAGGAGATGATAGGATCTTTCAACTAGATTTAGCTTAAATGATCACTCCCCGTTTACATGAATTACTTCACCAAGTCTGACATGTTCCTAATGCAAGAGATCAAACTATAGATGAGCATGTGACATTGTGACAAAGACACATTTAAAACCATTTCGCAAGATTTTCCTGTTCACATTAGGCTACTTCTATACTAATTTCAATAGTTTATAATCAATTGTGTTTCAGTAACTAGAGGATCTATTATTCCCCTAGTTATTAAGAAGAATGCTTCCATCTTTTGTCCTTCCTAATTTTTATAAGAACTTACATAAATCCAATGTCTTTTCCAATCTCCAACACAAGGATAATCTGGGTTACAGTCTAATCCTCAGGCAACAGCCTTCTCATTCCCAGAATCTACAAAGCAAAAATACTTGATGTTTTTCTTTAAAAGTGGCAGACTATCTTTGTCTCTATAACCCTATAACTGATCTGGTGGCAAACTGAAGCAAAGTTGAAAAGTTGTAAGACAGCAGCATTAAGAATGCTGGATTTTGGGTTAATTTTAGGCTTTATAATTTTTCTTAGTAACCTCAGACAGTTTCCCCCTTTCCTACCTCACTTTCTAATTCTGGAAAATGGAGTAACACCAGCCTCAGAGTTCTATGAGGATTTACTGACAGTTTGTGTAAAAACACACCTACACAATCATATCTCCATTTACCATGCACTAAGAGAACCACTTAAACCACCTGACGCCTGCATTTTCTGAGCAATTCGGCATTTATAATGTGACAGAGAGAATATTGAAACTGAAGTCATCAAGTAAAATCCAGGCAGTATGGGTCAATCATTTTCTTTTTGCAAGTATTCTAATCTTGCTGAGGCACTCCCAAACCTTCAGATTATTCTTGAATTCACTTATTTGAGGTACTCACAAAATTCTAGTGATTTATTTGCTGTCCCTCTTAGAAACTCAACTGTTTTGAACTGCACGCGAACTTTATGGACATACTGTACTTCACTGTTGGGCACTGACAACCAATACTTAATTCTGTGTCCTTTGATTAGCAAAGGGTTGGTAAATGGAGAGGGAGGGTTTGAATCTTGGGCACATGACTGGAAAAACAGGGTATATACGATACCTTTTTAAAAAACTGCCCTTTAAACACAAAAGTCTGCTTAAGTCGGGGGATTCTTACGGGAATTGGTTACAAATTCAGATTTTTATGTTACCCTTATGCCCGATTCCAGATGGGGCTGGACGTTGGCGTTTATGTTAAGAAAATATGGTCAGTGTCTGTGAAGTCACGACACTAAGATTGCTTAGCCTTTCCCCCAGTCATTTAAGAGCGATGTGTTGGTTTGATTTTGTCTAGTGTACGGGTCTGTAATTTCCATAGCAAAACCTGTAATGCTTTTATGAATTAAAGATTATAGTATTTAAAAAAAAAAAACCTCAGGCTCATAATGTCCGTCTGGTTAAGTGCTGTTTCAAAGATGAAGCGTAAAACGCCAGAGACAGTACCCTCATCAGAGCGGGCCTTCCTAATAAGTCGGCATAAGGATCCCAAAGGAATACAGGGATGGGAGAGGCGACCCGAGGGCAGTTCCAAGGTGGAGGCCACGCCCCGGCGGAAACGCGACTTCCAGTCCTGGGAGGGTGTATTCCTCTTTCCAGCCAAACCTGAACGACCAGCTTTCCGCTCCGGCCACCGCAAAGGAGAAGTAGGCGGCCGGCTCGTTTCCTCTGGGCGGAGGGGGCGCCGCCAGCCGGCTGTCACCCAGGGTTCCGGCCGCGGGCCCCGCGCCTGCGCGTTAGGAGGGGCCGGCTCGGTCTCCTTCCGGGGCGGGGCCGCCGCGGCGCGGGGAGAGGCCGGGCCCCGCCCAGTTTTCCGGGCGGCGGAGGCGGAAGAGCAGGAACCAAGTGATTCCCGGGCACTAGACTTGAGGCGCTGCTGCTGGAGCGAGATGGAGCTGGGCGCGGCGGCGGTACCCGGGCGGGATGGTGTCCGCGAGCGGCGAGCCTTGGGCGAGGCTGGGAGGCAGCAACAGAACCACCATGCGCGGCCGCAGTCCGCCTCAAACAATCTTCAGAAACACTCCTACTGGTTGGATCTTTGGCTCTTCATTCTTTTCGACGTGGTGGTGTTTTTATTTGTGTATTTTTGGCCTTGGTGAGTATCCTGAGTTGAGAGACCATGTACCTCATTTCGAGGCGGTGTAAGGGAACTGAATTCCGGAGGGTACTTGTACAGTGTGTCCGAGGTCACAGTGCTGATGAGAGGTGGAGTCGGGTCGTGGGGGAGACGGGGAAGGGTCGAGTGACAGTGCCCTTGTTGGCACCTCAATGGGAGTCTTCAAAGAGGTGCGAAGGAGACTTTGCTTCGTAGTTTCTTATGATTTAGAAGGAAGCCAGTTGCACTGCCGTGAAAAACTATAGACGGTATATAGCCTTTTGGAGCTTTAGTTTTTCGTCGACCATTTAGAACCATGGCACGGAGGATAGTGACGATTGACATAGTAGTGATTTATCTAAAAGCAATTTGCGTGGAGTCTGGCTGTATGTAGTACGTGCTCTAAAGGTGTGGTTACTACACAACCGTTTTACCATGAGTACACCACGCAGACATCTCAAACTTAACCCGTCCCAACTGAACTCTTACTAGCTTTTGACTCAAAGGTACTTACCTTTCAGTGTCCCATTCAGTAAACGTCAATTTTATCCGACCCATTACTCTTCCCAGAAACCTGGGACTCTTTTGACTTTCCCCCGCCCCCCCCTTTTTTACACACACCCACATATCCTAAAACACCAACTGATGATGCCACAAAGTTCTGTGAAGTTCACTTTGCAAAATCCGTGCTCTAATTTTCATCACTCTTCACTCTATAAAGACAATTCTGGCAGGGAGTAAAGGTAGGAACAAAGGGAATGGGGCAGGGAGGAAGCAAAACAAGAAGAGGGACCCAACTGGCCGTAAGGAACAAGTTCTGGGGAAAAGGCAGTGAATGAAGGAGAGCGCCTGTGGAAGGGTGGTGCAGCCAATTTAGACAGCTCTTCTGGACTTGGGAGTTGATTGTTCACACGCTGTAAGTTAACTCCTCCCACTCATCACACTTAGGAAATTTACTTTACGCTTCTTGATAAGCAGTGATTTCCACATTCCTATCCCTAAATTTCCACAAAGATTTTGGTGTTTTCTTAGGTCTTTCTGTCTGATTTCTTGGACAGAAAGGAGATAATTTTAATAAAATTATCTGTTAAGCCATTTATAAAGAGAGATTTTCCACTCTCTACCCCGTTTTCTTAGCTGAGACTGATAACTCAAGTAGAATGGGTTTTTTTGCCTTTTAACCCATGTACCAAAGATGTATCACGTACAGTGATTTTCTAAAAATGACCTGAATTTTCAGCTCTGAGTAGAAAATGGAAGTCTTAATGGAAATAGTCCAGGATTTTTCCTGTTTTTATCAATATGTAAATCATTTAGGATTAGGCAAGTGACTGTCAATCAAGATTTTCAGAAATTGGCATAGTGTTAAAATGGGAACATAAAGGAAATATTGCTGACAAATACTTGTTTTTACAGACTGGTTTGCTGCCCACTGGCTTCTGGAATGAATTCTGAAGTTGACTACAAACTTCTTGAAAAAAGAAGATAGGATTGTACAGCAGAATTTCAGAACTCTATGGGACTTTCATTTTATACTTTTCTTTTGCTTATTTGGAGAACTCTATTAACTGGGTAGGATCTTGCCCATTCATAAATACATTCTTAAAATTAGACCCTTTAGTTCATGTTTCAAAACTTTGAAACATCTGGTGGCTTTACAGGTTTGAATATGAAAATATTTGTATTTAAAGGTTTAGTGTATTCATTAGGAGATATAGTAATGTCTTTAACATTTTAAGGGTTGATCAGGGTTTAATATGCTGAAAATGATAGGGTGAATGATAAGGAGAGGTGTTTATAAATTCAAAAGTAAATTACTCAAAAGTGAAGGAACGATTTTCAGAGGAGGAATGGAGTATTCTTAAGATTGCATAGAGGTGCAACAAAAAAGATACACAGAAAATGTAGGCCCACTGTTTGTTTATTGGCTCTAAGCACCAGTTTAATTTTTGTTAATAGGTTAAGTAAGCATCTTATGAAATGATATGTCATGGGTGACAGGTTGATGTAGTCTTAGAGAAAGTAGATCATATTCAATGTTAGGAAGCTGCCATGAATGTCCTTTTCCCTGGATGTCTTCTTTCTTCCTTTCAAACTCTTGAGCCCCCCTAAAGTGTCTGTAACTTACTTAAATACTGCAGTAACGTCAATGTGATTATTTACTCATTCAACAGATGTTTGAGCTCTCATTGGCCAGCGTTATAAGACACAGTGAACAAAACAGACAAAAATACTTGCCTTCATGAGGTTAGAGGTTAATGTTGTTATTCAGCTTTCATTAGTGTTTGTGTTAATGTGTGGCCCAAGACAATGCCGCTTCTCATGTGCAGCAGAGAAGAAAAAGGGTTGGACACGCCTAAAGGACACAGAACTGGAATTTCACTGAATTTACTAAACAGATTGTATCACTTGTTTTTTCAGTACTTGCTAATAATTTTATCTAATAAATGTTTACTTACATAGTTGGATTTTATTTTAACAAATTACCCGGTGGTTGAGGGGGATTAACAGTTCTCACATAGTTTACTATTAGGTTACATTCTTACAATAATAATTCATACTACCTTTCTGAACCTATTTCCTACTACCACAACTATCAGATATTCTGAAAATTTCTGTTAATACTGAAGATAGATCTTAGTGTGATGGTTAATTTTATGTATCGACTTGACTGGGCTAAGAGATGCCCAGATAGCTGGTAAAAAATTTCTGGATGTTTCTAGAAGACATTAGGATTTGAATCAGTAGACTGGGTAAAAGAAGAGCCACCATCTCCAGGATGGTCATCATTTAATCCCTTGAGGGTCTGGATAGAATAAAAAGGCAGAGAAACACCAAATTGTCTCTTTGCTTGAACTGGAACATCTCTCTCTATGTGCTTCGATATTGGCAATCCTGGTTCTCAAGCCTTTGGATTTTGGACTGGAACTACACCACTTGCTTTGGAGAGCCTACTTTTTACAAAAATTGTGGGACTTTTCAGTATCCATAGTTATGTGAGTTAATTATTTATAATAATTTTTTTTTTTTTAAGATACAGAGTTTCACTTTGTCACCTTCGGTAGAGTGCTGTGCCAGTTATTTCAGCCTCCCCAAGTAGCTGGGACTACAGGCACCGGCCACAACGCCTGGCTATTTTTTTGTTGCAGTTTGGCCAGGGCTGGGTTCAAACCAGCCACCCTTAGTATATGGGGCTGGTGCCTTACTGAGCCACAGGTGCCGCCCTATAATAAATTTTTATATGTTTATATGCTGTTGATTCTGGAGACTAACACTTATTAATTGGCATACAAAAAATAGTGGTAGCTGGGTGTTGTGGCACATGCCTGTAGTCCCAGCTACTTGGGAGACTGAAACAGAAAGATTGCTTGAAGCCAGGAGTTTGAGACTGTATTGTGCTATAATTAAGCCTATGGATAGCCACTGTGCCCCAGCATAGGTAACATGGGAGACCCCATCTCCCCAAAATAAATCTCTTTAAAAAAATATTGGCAGTATGAAGGTTATGCAGATAGTAAGAAATCAGAGCTACCATTGAACTGTTTCATTACAAGTACAGTATGTGTTTACATTGCCCATACTTTGAAGGCTTTCAAGTGGATAAATGGGACACCAATAACAGTTGCAAACTGACAAAAACAAAGACATTAAAAGAACATATCAGTGTGATTTTAATCTGATAAATTCCTTCACAAATGTCACAATTTCATGTGAATGAAGTTATTTAATTGTTCCATTTGAAATGAATTGGCTTATTAGCAGTTACAAGGAACAGATTTTAGGGCCTGTTATCCTTAAATTTTTAATTTGTAGAGCACTCCAAATATCTAGTCACTGTGTGGGATGGGAGTACATTTGGAGACCTCAGGATATTTAGGGTCAGTGAAGGTATTTTAGATTATGCTCTAGGTCATCAAATAAGGGCCAAATCTGACTGGCTACCTGTTTATATAAACAAGTCCTGTGTGCTAAGAATAGCTTTTATGTTTTCAAACAACTGAAAAGACTTTGATGACACATGAAAATCAAATGCAGTCTGGATTTCAATCTATGCCCATTTGTCTACATATTGTTAATGGCTGCTTCTCACATTAGAAATGCAGACTTGAGTATTAGAGATTTTATGATCCACAAAGCCTAAATTAGGTAGTATTTGGCTTTTTTTCCTTTTTGGCTTATACACAACAGGCATTTACTGCTCATAGTTCTAGAGAGGGTAGAAGCCTGAGGCTGGGTGCCAGCGTGGTCAGGTTCTTGGTGAAACTCTTCTGCCAACTTTTCATTGTATTTCCACCTGATAGAGAGAGGGCTCTCTCACTTTTTTTTTTTTTTTTTTTTTTTGCAGTTTTGGCCGAGGCCAGGTTTGAACCTGCCACTCCTGGTATATGGGGCCAGTGCCCTACTACTTGAGCCACAGAAGCCACCCTCTCCCGCTTTCTTACAAGGCACTAATTCCCTCAAGAGGGCTCTACCCTCTTAACCTAATTACCTCCCAAAGAACTTATGATGTATTTCCATTGTACTGGGGACAGGGCTTCAACATGCGAATTTTGGGGGTACACAAACATGGACAACAGTACAAGATCAAGACTAAATACTGGAGCAGAACAATGTAGCAGCGGACTTAAACCTTAGAACATGCAGGTGTGCTGTCTGGCTCTATCTTACAGAAAGTTGACTGACTCTTAGGAGTTGTGATTTAGATCTTTTTGAAGTTTAACTTTTAGGAACCTTGTGATAGACAACATATTGTGATCAGTGTAAATAATTGCAAGTACCCTCGACTTAAATTTCCCATAAAATATATAAATTGTAATCCATGGGGGCAAGTGTGTGGGAGGCAGGGACACAGTTCATGAACACAAAGAACAGTCCAATCATATTAAAAATGAGTTTATCTTAAATGTTTTGAACCAGAAGCAACCAATTTCACATGAAAATATAACATTCTGAAAGGAAGTTATTTGAAACATGATTGTTGGGTACATTATTTTAAAAGTCATAAGCTTCTAACCAGATGTATAAAAATAAATATGCACCCTACAAGTAAAAGTTTTACATGTGAATGATTAGTTAGTAACTATGTATTCGATCTGTATTTGGAGTATTATAAAAACAAAAGGTCAGTTTCTAAGGTTGTTTCAACTAGACTACTTTGGGAGCAAAATTAGACATTTCTTTTTGATGTTTGCAACTCAACTGAGTTGAAAAGACAAAGTTAGGAAACTATTAAATACACAAATTAGTTTAAATGTTTCAATTAATACATTTCCAGCTGAGTATCTTAACCAAACAGAAATTAAAAAAAAAAAAACCTACACAAAGTTTTGAAAGCTATTAGAAATATCTGAAGCCCATTTGTAGTATTTTACAATGTTATAAAAGCAACAATTAAAAACACTAGCATTTCAAATACAATTTACAGACATCACATTATTTACAGACATCCATACTAAAAATTATGTTAAAAATAGGATTTCTTAAACAATAAAATTTAGTTTAGTGGGTATTCAAGTATTTCTAACAAGAATATAAAATAATCGCTTACTATCAAAGTTACAAAATAAAATTTGGCCAGGATCTAGTAACTGGGTAGAGTTAAACTTTTACAAGCAATTATTTTCTATTTATCTAAAAGTGTTCATATTTAATCATTTACATTTTAGAATATTTTAATGCAATTTACGAAATCAGTCAAGATATGGAATGTACTAGTTTATTGAATCATATGTTATATTCATGAAATTCACCCATTTAGGGATGTAAAGAGAATTTTAATTCTGATTCTCAATTCTCTGGAGTGAACATTAAAACTAACTCTAAATTACAATTAGTTTATTAGCTTAGTATAAAATAAAATGACAACTAATGAAATAAGGCAATTAAAGTAACTTATTTTCACTCCTAAGGTCACAATAATAATGAAAAGTTCCTTTATTATTAAACAAAGTCATCTCCATGAAAGTAATTGGGGTAAAATTACTATTTGTTTAGAGTATAAAAAAAAGGGAAGGATGCGCAAATTAATTAAACATTAACATTAAAGGCTTAATTAAAATTAAACCTATGTGAAAGGCAGAAATTTCATCTGGAAACCTAAATAGATTTTCAGATTCAAAAATGTGAAAATCAGCACAATGGGTTGACAAGATTATAGCAGAGAAAACAGAGGCAGTTACAGTGACATTTCCAATAAGAGGGCCCTAGGTTAATTCCTAACACTGGTTGTTAGCAGCCCAACGTAAAACAAAATAAAAACCATTCACATTTCATATAAAATTTTAAAAAAAGTAACAAGATAAATAAATACAACAAAGTTTAAGCATTTTTTTAGCTTACACAGCTGAGTAGTATTTATGGACTCATAATAGTCAAAGGCCTAATTCATGTTAACTAGGAGCAAAGTTAAATTCAATCTGACTTTGGAGATTTAATTGAAAAACTTAATCATTAAGGCATTTTTTTCCCAAATGCTATCAAATTCAAGGATCATTTTTTTTTTTTTAAAGACACTTAGTGGAATCATACATAGCAGACTATCACAGAAGTCAGAAATAAATGGGTGGAACCCTGTTGGTTCCCCATTAGAAAGTGCGTCTTCATAAAACAAATAGTTCTTTGACTAAACTATGTATCACTTGGTATTTTTCCATTAGCATAGTTTACAATCTATACACATGTACTGGTTTATTTAATACTGGTTAGTAGCCACACAACAGAGGGACAAATTTAATTTTTATTCAACCGTAGCATATAGCAAATGAATTGTTATGTACCCCGGTTTTTTATTTTTCAAGGCATGCTAAGACTATTCAAAGGGACTTCTAAAATACCAATAAACTGATCAGCATAAAACTTTATATAAATTATACATACACACACATAAATTGATCGATGACTTTAAAAATGCTATCTGTTTTGATTTTCTATCACTAGGTTTGGTCAGTAAGTTCCTTTAAATGGCCTCTGAGAAGTATAAACTTGTCAGTTCCATCATTTATCTATTACAGTGTATGCTAGGTTTACATCTTTGCTCAGAAGGATAGCCTGAACCAAGACTATTATGTAACACAGGCCCTACCTCTCTGTCACTCTGAGATACTGAATTATCATTACAAAAGCCGCTGCTTTCTGGAAAACAGAGCTTAGGTCTCTGATGATACTTCAATCTGTATGTGTCAGTCATGCAGCTATCAACTGAAAAATAGGTGGTTAATGATATTGTCTCATTTGTACTGGGAGAACTAGAGTCTAGTTCTGGTTGGCAACATGCATCAATAATTGCACCTGAGTTTGCCTGAAAATCATTAGCTGAAGAGCTGGATGGGTAGTCTGATGTGTTATCAACACATTCTTTCACTTGAAATGTTCCTTTCCGCCTTTCATCATTCACATATGTACTCATTTCTAAATTTGGTTCTGAAGCTATACTTAAACTGTGCTTCGGAAGGCTAGAAGAATTAGCTTGAAACACCTCTGTAAGATTGACATCAGCTGTAGATTCATTTTTCTCTGACTGTAGCACACTAGTTACAGCATATTTCTTTGGTGGCAACGGGGGTGGTAGATTCTGGCAAAAAGGTTTTGGCATCTGACACCCATCAGATCTGCAGGTTGGCTGAACTGTATGTTCCTTGGACTGAGAGTTCTCAGAGTAACATTGTTCCATCATATTTTGTTGCTGGAAGAGGGGGGCAATTTCTGGCTTTAACCCAACAGTTCTCATGTGTGAAGACCGCAATGAAGATGGTAAGACTATTTCACTGCTGTTCACTCTCTTCCCAGAAGCAGAGTTATCACCATGAAAAGGCAAACCTCTTCTCTCAGAATTTTCTATATTAAGCCTCTCAGAAAATCTGCATTCATCTGTTTTATCAGCCTTCTGTTCATCTGCCTGATGGATAGTTTCTCTTGCACTATGGTCCTTGAGTGTTTGTGGACTGGGTGGAGGAAGTAACTTTCCATTGGTTTCATGAACATGTGACCTGAAATATAAAAGTAAAAACAAAGCTATATGCTAATATGTAAAACCAGGGGAAACCAAACATTTGTCCTGTAGTTTGACTTCTCCAGTATGTGGCTTATATTAACTTTTTAAACATTTAACAACAGAAAGGTGAAGATATTCCCAACCATTAACATTTTCTGCCTTCTTTGAATCCCAAACTTCATGACTTAATATGTGTATGCTTACCAGAAACACACATCATTACCAAACTCATATTTCTAATAATTGTAAATGTAATTTAAAAAAAAAACTAATTGCAACTTAAAAACACTAAAATTACATTTATTTGTGATAAAATACAGCACAGAACTTAATGAAAAAAATATTACAACCAAATAATTCAATACCCTGAAACTTTCCAAAGTTTAAAGGCAATATAGGTAGAGGTATTTTAAATACTGATATATGCTGCTATAAGGACAGCATACTAATTTGAAATTAGTTTGTTCAAGATTACCTCTGGGTAATAATTACCTTCTAAGATGAAGATAAATGATATCACATTGCAAATTTTTTTTAGTATGAATTACATGGAATTACATAGAATAGAATGGTTAAACAGAGTTGAGGCTTGCTAGGTAAACAGAGCTATAATCCAATTTCAGCTCCATTGTTTTGGGAGCATTACTTCACCTAAGCCTCAGATATCCTCTTTTTTGTAAAATACTACCCACCTCATAGGAATGCAAAACAGAAAATCAGATGCTATACACGTGTGTGGCATTTTGTGGGCCCTCTATCCTTAGGTCCACATCCTACTAATGATTCCCAAATAAGTAGGCGTCATAATAATACCGCAGACCCATGCCTTATGCCCTTCTGATAAGAGCTCCCATGATGTGCGCACTCAGGAAAAAAAGGCTTTTATTTTCTCTGTGATTACCTTTTTATCAAACTATTTTTTATTTGGAGATGTGATTCTGGGTGGAACTCATGAGATTTATAGCCTGCTTCCCAATTCTTAAGTTCTTTTCTAAAGCCTGTGGTGGGGAGGAAAGGAGGAAAACAAAATTACTGAAGTAATCTTAAAGAATTTATTCTATTTATACTTCTCTAAAGTTTTCTATAAAGAGCTAAATTCTCTTCCAATTAAAAAACAACAAATTATTCTTTTAGACTCAAAATGACAGCCGTTTTTTGAACCCTATATAAAAAAATTCACAGTTCTTTCTTCAGTTTATTATCACTTGAGGATGTCAGCAATGCCAGAATTGCACTATTCCTGCTGGGTCCTGTGGAACATTGTGCTGCGTATCTCTGTTATATAAAACATGATCTGCATTGAGAAAGTATTATAATGGAAAAATTCAGCATTTGAAGATAATCGGCTTAGGCTGAAGTTTGGACTCGCTAATTACAGGGTGGTAAGCAGGCCTCTTAACCCCTTGCAATCTCTGTTTCCTCATTTATAAAATGGGATGATAATCCATTTTTCCTACCTCATAGGAATATCAGGAATGTCCAGTGAATTTACATGGATGGGAGGTTATTATGACAGCATGTAAAATATTATGCCAGTACTAATTAGCTATGATTTACTGACTGCTTGTTCAAGTGGTAAGAAGAACCTTATGAAGAAATTTACTGTCATCTTGATTTTATAGATGAGAAAACAGAGGGTTAGGAAGGTTAATAAGTAACTAGCCCAAGGTCACATAGCTAGGAAATCTAGGTATGATTCAAAAGTCCACGTTCTTAACCATGATTCCATATCGTCTCCTTGTAATTGTTACTAATCCCCAGTTCTGACATACAGTAGGCACCAACAGTTTTTAAATTTAATAGTATCATGAAAAGATTTCTCTCTTATAAATACTGCCTTAACTAAAACAGCTCTACTAAAAATGACTATTGCCCTCTAATCTTTAATGTATCTAAATAAAACCAAATCTGGACTATACCTAAAGTAGGCTAAACTGAACAAACATAACCCTGAAAGATAAAACTCATTTTACAGGGTAAAGCTGAAGAAAAGGGAACTAAAACATTTAGGTTTATACAGAAATTTACCTAAGACCATTCCAATTTTTGTTACCCCCTTTATGGGAGAGCAAGTGTTTTGTATCTGAGAACCTGAAGGTCTGCAGGGAGCTTTTTTCTTCACTAAAAGCACAAGGAACTGGGGCACCACTACACCGATGGAAAAATCTCAAGCACCAAGATATAGACAAAGCACAGAAGGATCTTTGGAGTTCAGTTAATTACTTTGTGGACACCGTATCACCTGCTTATATTAGAAATGGAGCCTAGAAAACTACAGTTATGTTAGTCATATGTCTTTATAATAAGAATAGCTACAATTTAGAGGATGTTCAGTGTGTCCCAAGTCATACATTTCTCTAGATCAGCAGTTCTCAAAGTGCAGCCACAGAACCCTGAAGGTCTCCAAGAACCTTTCAGGGGTCTGTGAAGTCAGACTTATTTTCATAATCCTGAGATATCATTTTTGACTGTGTTGACATCTGCACTGCTAGCATAGTTCCAGGCAATGACACCAAATTGTATTTGTAATTGTATTCTTCACTGCCACACTATTGTAGTTTTTTTTTTTTTTTTTTAAAGCCAGTTTCACTTAATGCTTGATGAAACAGCAAGATTTATTTACTTTATTAATTTACTTAATTTACACATCTTTTTGTTGTTCTGTGTGAGGAAATGGGAAGTACACATAAAACATTTTTGGTGCATACTAAGTAGACAGTTGTTTCAAGAAAAAACATTGAGAGGATAGTTTGAGTTATCAGTTGAATTTAGCTGGTTTTACCAAGCAACACCATTTTTAACTGAAAAGAATGATGGAGGGGCGGCGCCTGTGGCTCAGTGAATAGAGTGCCGGCCCCATATACCGAGGCTGGCAGGTTCAAACCTGGCCCCAGCCGAACTGCAACCAAAAGATAGCCGGGTGTTGTGGCGGGCACCTGTAGTCTCAGCTACTTGGGAGGCTGAGGCAAGAGAATCGCCTAAGCCCAGGAGGTGGAGGTTGCTATGAGCTGTGTGACGCCACGGCACTCTACCAAGGGCAATAAAGTGAGACATTGTCTCTACAAAAAAAAAAAAAAATGATGGATGAACTTTAGTTATTCAGACTTGGGTAGTGGCAGAAATTTTCTTGGAAATAAAAGAAGCAACCTGTCACTTCACGGAAAAAAGCTGGTATCTTTATTGCTAATGACAAAATTAAAGCTTTTATTTATTTATTTTATTTTTTTGGCTGGGGCTGCATTTGAACCCGCCACCTCTGGCATATGGGGCCGGTGCCCTACTCCTTTGAGTCACAGGTGCTGTCCTGAAATTAAAGCTTTTAAATGAAAGTAATTTTGGAAAACCTGAATCCACATTAAGTTCTGTAACTTCCCAATGCTTATAAAAGGATTCCTGCTAATATCTTTGGTAATGTTAACAAAAACAGTTTTTAAAAAAGATACGACATTAATTAAATATATCAACACGTGAAGGATTTGCATAACTTAGCAAATGACTTAATGGATGTTACAAAATCATGTGTGGGTAAAACATCCGTTCAAAGTGCAAGAGGGACTAATGTGTTCTAACGTAATAAAGGATGAGGCATTATCTACTATGGTTTCAGATTTTATATTGTAATTAACCTTGAAGAAGAATATCCACAATTTCTAGGAAAAGCTATAAAAATTCTCCCATTTCCAACTACAATGTGTATGAGGTTGGATTTTCTCATATGAAGAAATTATCAACAACAATCTGAATGCAACAACAAACATAAGAATTCAGCCATCTTCTATGAAGCCAGGCATTCCAGAGATTTGGAAAGCATGAAACAACGCCATTCATCTTGCTAAATTTTTTTGTTTTCCGAAGCCATCAGTTTTCATTAAAAATGTTATTTATGTTAACATGGAAGGGATTTATTATTCTTTAAATGAATACATATTTTTAAGTCTTCAGTTTTAATGCTTAATGCAGCAAATATTGATAAATATAACCTATAGAAACAAAAGCTGTTTGAGGTCATCAATACTTTTTTAAGAGTATAAAGATACCCTGAGGCCAAAAAGTCTGAAGACTGAAGTTCTAGTTGATTGATAAGTTAATCTTTTATAACCTCAGTTACTATTCTGTGAAACAGCTCTTCTTTCTACACTCAGGGAAACTCGGGCTCAGGGAAGTGAACTGACTGAATTAATACTACAGAGCTGGCAAACAACAGTGTGCAAACCAGTCGGCATCAACTTTGAAGCCAGTGCTCTCGCCCTCCCTGCAAGCTCTTTTGTATATGCCATGAATACACAAGGCCATCACACTGGATCTCCTTCTGAGCAAAGAGGCCATTTGTCTGAACATGTCATGTTTTCACATGCTGATCCCCACAGAAGATACTGAGATATGAATTGCCTATACTTTTATCACAGTTCCAGTAAGCTTTTCTGCATTCTCCCGTATTTTCAGCTGACCTTTCCATCATGTTCATTTATCTCTGTTTCCTCCCATTCTCCTGCTTCTAATCTACTGTACACCAAATCTATCAGGACCACAAAGAAAACAAAAGGATATCAAATCAAAGTTATTAAAGCAGTGGCTTTTATTTTTTAAACAATATAGAGAACTGTCTTAGATGCTTTTATATCCCTAGATCAATCTTCTAGGTATATTTTTAAAAATCACTCTGTCACTCAAAATCCAACTGGAATCTACAGTTGATCAAAATATTTAAAGTTTGCCCAATTTGGGCACCCATAGCTCAATGGTTAGAGTGCCGGTCTGTGCACTGGGCGTGGTGGGTTCACACCCAGCCAGGGCCTGCTAAACAGGAAAAAAAAAAAAATTGTCCTATGAAAGAAATCTATATTTGATTATGATCAGGCTTTGCAAGTTAAATCTTGGAAGCAATTTCCAAGAGTCATGAAATATGTATGAGAATTTAATACCTTGTCATATGCCTCACATAGTAAATAAAAGGAGGGAACTAGTCTGGTATTCATTTGTTTAACACTCTCGTACTAAACTGCTGCAATCTCTCTGATTGTATATGTGACTTTCTGTTATTGTTTTTCCAGAGGCTGGCACAACGTCTAGCACATAGAAGATATTCAAATTAAAGTCTGCAGGATGAATGAACAATTGCATGAAAAACATACTGATTTTCTTTTTCTTTTTTTTTTTTTTTGCAGTTTTTGGTGGGGGCCGGGTTTGAACCCGCCATCTCTGGCATATGGGTCGGTGCCCTACTTTCTGAGCCACAGAAGCCGCCCCCATACTGATTTTCTTTAAATCACCCCCACCATTCGCACCATGTTCCCAACTCACTGATTTGGGACCAGATAAGTATGAATTGAGACAAATCTTATCCTTCCCTTTCACAAGTGCAATACCAATAGAACCTTAAAAGGCAGTAAAATTTATCTGAGTGTCTCTCTGGTAGGAATATGTAATTTTTCATGCTTGAGAAAATAGTCATGTGTAAACCTGACACACTGCCTGAAGCTCAGAAACTATCACTCGCTACAATAGCTATTTTATGATTAATATATGTATATGTCAAGGAGAACCTCAGTAATTTCTCAATGCTTAAAGCTTGAATAATTTTTAAGTTAAAATTATGTTTATTTTACTTCTTAGCTTCTCCATAATCTTAACATTCACAAACAAGAAAAAAGAAAATATTTAATTCTTGAATAATTCTTTACTTGTATTAAGAGTATCCACACAGTGGGCAGCAGGAGGCAGCAGAGGTTTTTATAAATGTGCTTGAAATTCTAATATCACTGTGGCAGGCATGCAACCAAGTGGTTTGACTTCAGAATTCCAACTAACTTAAAAATAGATGTGTTATTTTTCTCTTCTGCTGACATAGACATCTATGTGTCTTTGTGGGGAATTCTGGCTCCAGGTTATTTGCTCATCTAAAATAGTCTGATTTTAACACTTGGCATAGAAAAAAAATCTCAATGTCAAGGCCAGAAACTTTAACAATACAAATTTTGATACTGTATGTAAAAAAACC